TCATAAAGTATATCACTGCACCAGGTGACCTTGTTACTTTGCTATAACAATACCAAGAAGGCTATAGCATTGTAACAATAGTTAGTAGCTTTTACAAAAACTTCTCCTAGTAATTTTATTTAATTGGGATATTAAAATTAAAGTTAGAATTAGATTATATTAGGTGCTTAAATTAATCACATAATTACATGATTCTGATCTTGATTAGAAAGCACATTTTCATGTAATCCAGAAAATTTTATTTATATTCTAGTACTGTTAACTTCTCTAAAAAGAATATTCTACATACAAGCCAAGAGCATTAGTAATAATAATATCCTGATCTATTAAGAATTAGTGGAAACGAAATTTCTGCTAATTCATATATGATTAGAGTATTATTAATTAATTTTCTTGTGATCTTGAATAGTGATCAGAGATTTTTTATATCTAGATTAATTCAGTTTTATTATAATATAAATTGGGATTTAAATTTAAATCTAGATTTACTTATATTCAGATTTAAAAATATTATATCACATTATATTATATGATATAGTATATATCTGGATATAAAATCTAGATAGAGATATTAATTCTAAGAGAAGAAGTCTTAAAATAGGCTACTATTTTGTCAATAAAGCTCAAAGGCTATTACTTCAAAGAAAAATACAAAGAAAATGACAAAATTTTAGATTTTTAACACTCTCTTTAGAAATTTTAAAAGTATTTACAACTATATATATTTTTGCTATTTTGGAATTTTTTAGAAATTTTAACCTAAAAGTGAGAAAATTAGCATATTTTTTCTAAAAGATTAGTAGTGTTTATTCTTTTTAAATTAGAACATATCTATTAAAATAGAATCTTCTGTAAGCTTATTTGGTTACTATTTGTTAAATAATTGATAATGGTGTTATAAGTAGTTGAAGAGATCACGTATAGAAAACTCTAAATATTAGATATATATATTTTTTTTTTATACTATATATAGTGTTAGATTAGATTTTTTCTATACAATATTATATAATTTTTATAGTCTAGTATAGGCAAAAATAGTGTCATCATAGTCATTTTCTTTATAGTTTTTTTCTTTTTGTCTTCATTTTTTTTTTATTTTGTTTAACTTTTGCTTTTGTTTAGTTTAGTTTTTTTCACTTTTTATTTTTTTTTTATTTTTTAAACTTTTCATTGCTTGTTAGTAGAGTTTTTTCTATCTAGAAGGCTAGAAAAAGAAGATTAAAAAAGAAGATAATCATGATAGGCTAGTGAACCAGATTAGTAATTCAAAGTAGATTTTATCTCATAGAGATTTAAAACTAAACCAGTAAAACTGAACTTATTTTTGGCAGGTTATACATAGATTCAATTGAAAATTGAGTAAGCCATATTTTAGTTTTTTTTGTTAAAAACAACTTGGTATAATTAGTTATCTGTAATAATAATTTTAATATATTAATAAAGCAAAGTATATAATATAGCTATTAAAAAAAAAAAAACTTTACTTAAAAACAAAGATTTTTTTATAGATAAAAAATATATAAAACTTAGAGCATTAGTTTATAGTGACGGGTTGCCATGACGACCCTATATAAATAGCCAATCAAAATTGAACATGTGGATATATAATAAGTTGCTTACTATTGGCCAATTAAAATTAGTTAAAAATTTTAAAAATTTTATAATAAAAAATAAAAAAATTTTAAAAAAAATTGTATTAATTCTAAAATATGATTAGCTACTATATGTAGGGTCGCCATAGAGATGGGTCTTTATAAAAAATTTAACTAAAACTTAAGAAAATTTTAAAAAAAATTCTATATAAAAATTTTAATATAAGAATTTTAAACTTTTATTATTGTAAATTCCCAAAAATAAGCTACTATTTTTGAGTAAAAAATTATACAAAAATTTCAGGAGTAGCATAAGACCAAGACCTTGAAGAACTCTGATACAACTTAAATCTAAGTTTGTATAAAGTTTGTATAAATTTGGCCAAATAGATATATAAAATAGAGCAAATTTTAAAAATTTACTATATAAAAATGCAATGTTTGATAAATTTTTATATAAAATTTTCTTTTTTAATGATATATAAGTTGCATCAGAGTTCTTTGGGATCTTATAAGACCCCAAAAAACTCTGATGCAACTCATATATTATCAAAAAAGAAAATTTTATATAAAAATTTATCAAACATTGCATTTTTATATAGTAAATTTTTTTTTTATTACTTTTTCATATTTGTTATTGTTTTTTTTTGTATTCTTTTTTGTTTTTTGTTTTTCTACTTTTTTAGATATATTTATTTTTTTTGTTTTTTATTTTATTTTATTTTTCCATTTTCTATACCCCTTTGAAGAAGAAAAAATATTAAAAAAAAAACAATTTTGACAAAGCTAGTAATAAGCTTTTAGTAATTCAATGGAGAATTGTCTAGTAAGTTAGATGCCAGAAATAAAAATATATATTGCTGTGGCAGATTGTACTTGTGCACTTTTGGAAGTAGCTAAGTAAGTTTTTATTGCAAAATAAGAGAGTTAAGGATATTTAATTATTGCAGGCTCTTTGTTTATAACTTGGTTTTTGATATTGTACTTTTAAAATAATAAAGGCAGGATTGCCAAAAGTTAATTAAAAAAAAATAAAAGTTGTTCAGAATATAAAAATACACATATTTTAAAAGTTTCATACAATTTGAATAACTTTTTATTAATATACTTTTGCATTTTAAATTTGAATTTAAAATGCAAAAATATACTAATAAAAGTTATTCAAATTGTATAAAACTTTTAAAATATATATATTTTTTATATTCTAAACAACTTTTATTAATTGATAAATATAGATTTACTTAATACAATTTTGACTTTTATATATATCAACTATTAAGGTAGCTTATTTTCAAATAAAAGAAGATTTTATGTTTTTTGCTCAAAAGTAAAGGGTAGTTTATTTTTGAAGTAGCTTATTTTCAGGAATATACAGTACTATATAAAGATTATTTTAAACTATATTAAAAAATATATAAGATTTTTTTAAAATAAATTAGTTTAATATCAATTAATTTTTATAATTAAAATTAGACAGTTATTATTTACAACTTTTATTAAAAAATTTAAAAAATTTATTTAATAGAAAAATTTTTTTAACCAGCTAAAAATTAAAGAGCTTATATAAATTACTAAAAATAGTAATAATTTTCTATTATTGTAATACAAAGTTTATAATACAAGTTATATTTTTATTATATAAATATTAATAATTTTTTAACTATAATAAGTTCTCTTTTTTATATAATTCAAATTTATTTTATAAAGTTATTTAATAATTTTAAGAGTAAAATTGCTTTAAATAGTGTACTACAGGTAGTATACTAAAATTTGCAAAAAAATAGTTGTTAAAAATCTTTTTTATTTCAACAACTTTATTAATAATAAAAAAAATTTTGCCAAACTAAACTATAGTATTTATCAGATTTTTTGTATATAAAAATTTTTTGAATTTATAATTTTTTAGATTTTTAATGCATTTTGGTATACTGTACTACATGTAGTACAAAAAGTGAAATCCTATCCATTAATAAATAGTATAAATAGTATTATTATTACATGAATTTCTATTAAAAAATTTTTAATACACAGTATAGCAATTTAATCAACTCTACTGTATTAAAATACTTTTTTTTTTTTTTTTTTACAAACATGATTAAATATTAAAATATTAAAGTTTAATCTTTTTTAAAAAAAAAAAATATACAAAAGTGAAATTTTATTTCTGACTACATTAATAAATAAAAATTTTTTTAAATGTAAAACAGATTTATATAAATTATCAAACTGAATTGAACCAAGCCTAATTTTAAATAAAACCCAAAAATAATTCAAAAAAGATTTTTTTTAAAGATTTTTCGATTCATCCGAACAAAATTGATGCCTTATTCATGTTAAAAAGCAGACTACAAGAATAAATTTGATGATTATATTTAAACTTATTACCGTGAATAAATCTTAATTATATGCATAAATATCCCGTCCGTGCATTTACCCATAAATGTTAAATGTGTATATACCAAAGAGTCCGTACACTCACATAATGTCCTCTTTCCCAACACTTGACAGCATATTATGCGGTCAACCACTTCTATCAGAATTCGCATTTAACTTTCTGACCAAAACTTCATATGTTAAAATAGTTAAAGCACTTGCTGGTACAGTTCTTAAAAGATTGGTTGACATTCCCTTATAAAAAGCCAAAAAACCTTCTTCATGGCTTATTACTTTAACAGCATGCCATATTCCTAGATATTTAAATGGTTTACAAGTTTGGTTTTGTAACCTTGTACGAACTACTTCATGTGGATAAGTTGCTATAGAGGCAGCCATTTTTGAGACGGAAGATGCGAATAAAATTGATAAATTAGATAATTCTTTATCAGGGGTTTCTATAAAAATGAAAAAGTGAGAAAAATTGAAGACTAACAGAAAAAATTTCCGGACAAGTCAAGTGAAAGAAAACGTACTTAACCAAACTTTCATCTTTTCATATAAAGGAAATTGTACAGCTACATGACTTACACCCATTAATGAAGGACCAAGGCCTTTGTAAAAGCCTTTAAAACCTTCTTGTTCATATATGGTAGAAAAAGCGTGAAATGTATTCCTATACATGTATGAAGTTGTCTCGTTCTGCGTCTATAACAGTAAATTTTTTTGTTGTAAAAAGAAAAATTTCATCGATTAATTTGTGATGGACAACTAGTATGACCAATAGGGAAGGTGCAGAGGGGAAGGGAATTGACGAGTGACTTCAATGTACTGGTTATCGACAAATACCATGAACCGTGTTTTTATCACCCACAATGGATTAGTGACTATAGTACTCGTGGCACCTGCGCCCATGGCCGCGAATATATGCACTACCCATTGGTGATCCGCGGTTCGCCCTATCGCAAATTGGTTTCAAGAACAAGTTGATAATAATATTTCTCATCAGTTCTAGAAATCCATTTTTAAGCAATAAAGAAATAACTGGGAATGTTTATAAAAAAAAAAAATAATAAAAAAAAAATAATAAAAAAAAAAAATAAAAGAATAATGATAGGAATAATAATGGGTTTGATAAATTAAAGCAATATTCGCGTACATTTTTTTTTTATATTTAGAAAACAGTGAGGAATTTAGGATGTTTACAATAATTTCCACAAGGAAATAATCTTTTTGGTTGTCCCAAATAATTCTACGCGAAAAAAGTCACGAAAATAATCCTCTCTTATTTTATCTTGAATATGTAATAATACAACTATATATGTCATCAAATACGAGATAAATTTATAGCGATCTCAACTAGTACACACATGTAATAAAATTATATCATGAATTTATTTTACCTGTTCTCTCTCCTGTTCTCTCTCCTAATACAGATTTGAAATAATCATATGCACTGAAATAAATAGCCCATGTGGGAAGATAACCATATAATGTAGGTCCAAGACCACGATAAAGTCCTCGAATTCCCTCTTCTATCCATATACGTTTTAGAGTTTCTAAATTTAAAAAGTCAAATAAATCAATCAATAATCATGCATTAATTTAATAGCATAAATAAGTCAAAATTAATTTTAATCGAAGAATTCAAACAACTGTACTTCCAGTGCCACGATACGGAGGTACCCTTTGATCATGAGTGACTTTGCCCTGATTCTGTAGCCTTGTTTTGACTACATCCAGAGGACACGTTACAATAGAACTGACACAACCAGCAACAGCACCGGCAATTGAATGTTTAATTTTATCGGTTTCATTAGGAAAAAAACTACTGAATTTTTTTGTTGAAGTAGTCATGCCAGAACTGATGTGGGAAATAATGCAGATACAAGAATTTATATGATTAATTACATCATCTGATTCAATAGTGGCTTAAGATAATTTCTATTTATAGCATCACAAGTAATACTGTAATTCCGTAATTCGCCGTATTAGGCATCCTGGTTAAATTTTCACATGATAAAAAATTCGTACCCCAGGGTATATTTGTTTCACTGGACCCTATAAACTGGAAAATTGGACTTATTCCAATTGGAACGTACTGTACGTACGTACGTATGTACGTATAAGTCCAATTCAAATTATATACTGGACTTATGTACAAAGGTAATTACACGAGTTCTCTTGTATTCTTACAAAGTCACTTTTAATATGGCTTTATGTTTATAGTATCGCAATAAGCTAACTACATTACTTTATGGTACAGTACTTGCGAGATTCTATAATACTAAACATACTATATATATATTATAAAAAGAATTTTAAATATAAAACTAAATTAATTTGGTAAGGTAAATGCGGGCATTGTGACGAATAAACAGGATTTTTTTCAAAGTAAACCTAACTTTACTTACAAAGTAAAGTTGCTCAACATATCATTTTTTACTTACCCACAAATTTTGGAGCAATTCGAATTAATAAGTTTTTTCGTATAGAAAATTGATTTACTGTGCCAAAACGTATAACGAAAAAAGCTATTAAAAAAAGGTCATTCGAATTCTCTAAAATTTGAGGGTAAGTAAAAGATGGTATGTTGAACAACCTTACTTTGTAAGTAAAGTTGGTTTTACTTGGGAAAATCCTGTTTTCTTGAAGAAAAAATCGTGACGTATTATAAAAGATCGTCATAATACATACGTTACCCTCTAAATAGTCTTCTAAATAACATCACGCAGTTTAAATAAAGTACCGATTTTTTATATAAATGTAAAAAGGGTCTACGTAAAACTGCATTAAATTAAATAAAAAGTTAAGGGTATAAAAATTTTTATTAATAAAAACTGTTGACTTCGTCATAATACCCACATTTATCTTATGTTTATTAAAAAAGCATTTGTACGTAGTGAATATTTTTTTAAAAAAATTTTTATTATATGCAAAAAATATATATATATATACGTAGTAATTAATAATTGATACGTACGTAGTTCACGAAAGAAGAATTCTATTAATAAATTCTTGTAGTAATCCTATTATGTATATATATAACGTAAATTATAAAATCGTAAAATTTTAAGTAATGATATGATTTTATATTAATAAATTTTATTGTATTTGTCTCATTACGTATAAAAAGCTTTTTTTACGTACGTACGTATATATTAACAGTCAAATAATTTTAATATCTACGTAGTACAGTTCACCCTCCGTTACGTATAGCGGATACCTCATTATAACAGAGTAATTCTCTGGAACAATTTAAAATTTTTATGATTATACTATATAACGTTATAGCGGATATTCATTATAACGGACAGAATTTCTTAGCCCGATCACCACGTTATAACGAGGGTAAACTGTATTTGAAACATTGTATTTTATATTTTTATTGCACAAAAAATAACGATTGTGGTTTCGATTCTCATATTTCTTGGCATAATCTGTGCTACAGTAACTATATGCATAACTACATCACGGCAATATGAAGAACGCGCTCTAAGACTAGTATATATTAATTTTTTATTTTAGTAAAACCAGAGTTGTATAGTGTATATACTACAGTATATAATAATTGAACAATAAAATACAGTATAGCATAAGTAATATCTTAACATAATTGATATAGTATATATTGGTAATTTCATAATACACTTTAAATTAAATATAATCCTCAAATTTTTACACAATCAAAAAAATATATATTATACCTGAGTATTTATATAACATGCTTTTAAAAAAAATTTTATGATTTCTTGATTTAATATTTTTTTAAAAAAATTCAAATTAGTTTAATTTTTTAAAAAAATTTAATAAAAAACTAAAAATTTTTAGTTTTTTAAAGATTAACTAAATAAAATTAAGTGTTGCTTTGTGCTACTATGCAAGTAGCTTGGTATAACAATTGCAAAAGAGTCTGTAAAATTTTATTTAAGGTTATTATATAAAAAAATGAGATATAATATTAAATAAAGTGCTGATTTTCTTGTATAACATTACTATTTTAATAATATATAAATTTTAAAAGTCTATAACTTTTAATCTACTGATTTAATTTAGATGATTTAACTGCCAAAATAATCCTCTCAGTGAGAGAATTCTAATAAATCTAAAATAATCTAGGTGTGATCATGTGATCACAAGATCAGCAAAGATTTATATATAATATAATCTTAGTTGATTTCGTGATTACATAATCACATCCGGATTATTTAGATTTATTAGAATTCTCTTACTGAGAGGATTATTTTGGTAGTTAAATCATCTAAATTGAATCAGTGGATCAAAAGTTATAGATTTTCAAAGATTTATATAATAATTTAATAGACAATTCACCAGTCATCTGAATAAAAAATTTTTTTTATATATAAATTTTACATCTCTATCTAAAACTTTTTTTATACTAAGTAAATCACTCTTTGGCTTCTAAACTGAAAGAATATTAAAATTGGCCTAGTAGTTCTTGAGAAATTTTTAAAAAACTTTCTTTTTAATATAAAATTTCTTTAAAAAAAAATCAATTTTTTTTAAAGAAATTTTATATACAGTTATTCTTCTCTATAATCACTCAGTTTGTTTTATACAAATATGTGATTACAACTATGATGTGCTTATATGGAGGTGTTTTTCAATAAGGTTATTAATAAATTGTTTCAAAATTTTATGTGATTATATAGAAGTTGTGATTATATAGGAAGTGACTATAAAGAAGTACGACTGTATAAAAAAGAAATTTTTTAAAGATTTCTTAAGAACTACTAGGTTAATTTTAATATCCTTTTAGTATTAAATACATTTTGATAAGCTCTACAACTTTTGTTAAAAGCTAAAGAGTGATTTATTTAGTATAAAAAAAGTTTTTTTTTTTTTTTTTTTAATACTTCAGCAATCTTGCCTTTATTTTATTAGGTTTAATAATATTATATTTTGAAATATTAAATTTTTCAGAGACTTTACTGGATTTTTTAATTTTGCAAAATATTTTTATTATATATTAATATTATTTAATATTATATTAAGACAATTATCATTTATCGCCATAGCGATGCATTGCTATCCTCTGATCGACCAATTATTTTGTTTGTTTTGATTTTATATTAATCAAAACAAAACAAATAGTGACCGTATTATGGTTAGAGTTAGTGGTTGGCGAAGCAAAATTTAAAAAGCTTTTCTAATCTAAAATTTTGCAAGAAATTTTTTTTTTCAAGAAAAAAAAGCAGTTCCATAGTCAAAATTTTATATTAGAAGCAATTTTTTAAAAAAAACTTTGTTTTGCTTTATTTTCACATTACACCTGATCTTGCATCCTGATTGGTCGATCAGGGGTGGCAATGCATCACCATGGCGATGAATGATAACTCTCTTATATTAATTATATAATAAAAATATTATACAATTTTTTAATAATTTTAATATTATTTTTATATTAGTTAAACAATTTAAAATATCTATGTTAAGTCTGTTAAAACTTTATATTTAATATATATTAAAAATAGGATTTATTAAATTTGTACACCCTGCACAGCTGTGCACTCCTTCAAAACTAATAGTAAGATTAGTTGGAGTTAGAGTTAGGGTTAGATTTAGGGTTAGGGTTAGAGTTTAGGTTAGGGTTAGGTAAAATTGCGAGAGAAGTATTTTTACTTAGTTATATGACAGAGTTACTCTAGTAAAATTTTGAGATATAGCAGATTTTAAGTAAAATTACAATTAGTTAGAGTTAGAGTTAGGGTTAAGTAAAATTGTATAATGATTATTTTTTGTTAATCGCATGACAGGGGTTACTCTAGTAAAATTTTGAGATATAGCTAGGGGTACACTGCTGTGCACGTGTACAAATTTAATAAACCCTTAAAAATATTTATAAAATATAATAATTATATATTAATAATATAAATAATATATTTAGACAAGCACGACCTACTGTTGATCCGGCAGGTAATCCTCTAGTAAGTTAGAGGCCAAAGGGGAGGTAAATTAGTGGCTAGACAGTTATACATAGGCACCTTAGAGCAGCTATGTGATGCTTTATGCACGAATGAAGGTATGGTGGTCTGGGAACTGCAACACCGTGGAGGGAGAGACCCGGGATATATAGAAATATATAGACTAGGCTACTGTACTATCTTGTAATGTACTTAACCGTTTAGACGTAATAAAGTGGTTACCGTTGAAACCAAAAAAAAAAATATATATAAATAATATATAATAAAAATATAATTATCATATTTATAATCTAAAAATAACTCAAATATTTTAATTATATTATTACAATGTATTGATAATATATTAATAATATATTAATTATATTTAT